CAGTTCTTGATACCATTTACTTGGGCAGTGTTGTAGGTACCATTGCTCAGCCTTGCGAGCGTGTGAATACAAATCAGTCGAGCATTCTTCTTTTTGTTCTGGGATCATCGAATGACCCTCCTCTAGTGTGATGCGATCTCGGCGACAGTATAGCCATACGCAGGTAGGACGCGGTCAACCGGAAGCGTCGGAGGCCGCCGGGATCGCGACCGCAAGAAAGGCCGCTTGCTGCGCAAATTCAATATTTGTTCCATTAGTAATTCTCGGTATGATTGACGAGATTCGACGATGAAGATTGAGTCACGCCTATCCTGTCGTGGCTTTTTTTTTTCTCGTCTTCTTGCCCAAACCAGTTGGGCACCAAAAGAGCATCACGCCGGCACCGGCACCAAGAACCCATCCACGGAAATCGTCAAGACCAAGAAACGGTTTTCCTCATCGAATTGACCTTTTCGCAAAACCAAAAGAGTATCCGAGTAGTCTTAAAGTTCAAATTTGCCGATTTAAGGTTCCCCCAATTCCTTCCGGATGATTCTAGTCGAAAGACCAGCGGGGCTAAGGGACGCTTAGCGGGCTTTTTATTCGAACTTTCGGATAGAGTCCTCGTTACCTTTTAATCGGCGAAGAAGTGTAGAATGGTTCAACCTTCAGCCGATGGGTAGAATTGTATTGCCATTGGACGATCCACCAATCGTCCATGGATGAGGTTTGGTTCGCCCAACTCGGGCAGCGCCCGAACCAACTGTCATCGGTGAAGTTCCATCGGAACCACAGGAACAACACTAGGCAGTGGCCAACCGTGTTCTCTGTCGGCATGGAGACGTCGGCAGTTAACTTTCGTACCTTTTCGTGGGTTTTCATGTGCAAATTTTCTTCGTTGCTGGTGTGGGTATCCGATGACCGCATATTCAGGAACACACTGGCAGCGCCTGGTGTGGGCGGAACATGGCCATTGAAAGTGTCTGCATAGTACAATCGAACAGGCACCTTCCGTTCAAGCGAACGATATTAGGAGAACAACCTGTTTGGTCCAGGTATCTGAAACACGAACGGTGCGCCCGGATCTCTGATCATTCGCTCTCTATCTCAGCCTCGGCGGGGAACGGAGACTGCGACACGTACAACACTGGAGTTTTTCGACTCCAGCATGCAACGGCCAGGGTCGAGGCTTGCCTTCCGACTGGTGGAGGATCTACAGTTGACGACGAATGGCTGCGGCTGTATTTCCGCTGTGAAGGGCGTCTCCACCATCCAGCGCCTCGGTGTGGTAGATGGGCGAATCGGAGCACGGGGAAGATCGTGCATGGAGTTGAACTTTGTCAAAAAAGAAAAATAAAACGAATAGTCCATCCGGTTGGAGGGTCCCTGTCTATCACTTGGTCTAGACTTGAACCCCTCCCACACATTCTTCTTTGGGCACGAAAAAAATGAAACTCGGTCTGTCAAAGTTCCACACAGGGACATCGCCAGCCATGATTGAATCCGAGGTTGGATCCAGATTTCGTTGGTCTTTGTGGCTTCATGGCTTCATGGCTTTGTGACTTTGTGGCTTGGGGGCTTCGTGCGCTTTTTCTTTCAAGCCAACCTGCCCCTCAAGGCCCCCTCGATAATAATAGGAGAATTTACAAGTCTTTCAATGAAACATGGGGCAAAATTATAGTGTGAAAATTGTCAAATTTTTTTGGATGAACGTGGGTAGTTATTCAACCTCTCTATAACAAGTCTATCTCCCCCATAAAACTCCTTGGAAGCCAAGCTCCCATATTCCTGGAAATCCGGGGGTATTCATATACATCAAAAAAAATCATAGTCTCGTGACAACGTCCGGCCCACAAGGGGAGACATGTCGAATCAACCGAACATGTAAGAAACAAGTCCAATCTTGTTGGTTGTTGGGTGAAAAGGGCCACCGACTTGGGTGGAAAGAAGAAGTAAAAAGAAAGGATCACGTCCCAACAGAGGGAAAGTGAGACGAAGAGAATAAAAAAGACCCTTTGAAAGAGTGCGCGGGTCAACCGGCAAGGTGGAAAGAATGGAAAGAAGAGAAGTAAAAGAGCAAGCTCAGATCATAAAGTCGGGACGGAGTAAATGATAGATTTACTGGCCGATGGTCAGGCCCAGACCGGTATTGATGGGGCAACCGTGAGTAGCGTGGTCATCGGTAGGCTGGAGGTAGGCAGAAGCGCAGTTGGCATCACCAGCCTTGCAGATGGCCTGGGGGCAAGAGTCGGAAGCATCCGTGGAGGGGACGACGGCGAAGCCGTACTTGGTGAACTCGGAGCCAGTGCCCATGTTGATGCAAGAGAGGTCCCAGAAGATAGTATCAGTAGCCTGGGTGTACTCGAACTGCAGGACGTCGGACTGGTTGGGGTCGGTAGCGAGCTTGATGGAGATACCGCCGCCGTTAGGGTTGGTCTGCCACTTCTCAGAGTAGGTACCACCATTGGCCGTGAGGATCTGCATGGGGCCAACGTCCTGGGAAACGGACCAAGCGTAGATATCCTGGTTCAGGGTGTTGGTGATCAGAACACTGCCGCTATCGGCAGTCGCCTGGCGGCGGACCATGCCACCGGGCAAAGCGGAGGCAAGAGTAGCGAAAACAGCGGCGATGCCGAAAGACTTGGTGAACATCATTTTGAATGTGATGTAGATTGTTCAGAGAACGAATGGTAAGGCGATTGTGTGTTTTGGAAGTACGTGTCTGAAAAGACGTGGATGGGGATATAGTAGACTGGATAAGTCAAGAGAAGGTCTGGTCGACAGATGAAAGGAATGTATCGAGATCGACTCGAAAGAAGGTAAGGATAGTAAATGAAGGTGATACTTCGAAAGGACTGTGATGATGATTCGAAACAACGAGGGTGCACAAGGGGGTCTTTATAACATTTTGGAGGGGTCCCTGTTCAGGTCCCCCGGACAGGCACCGCTGCAAAAGAAACGTGGTGGATCCAGCCACGCAGGGCCAGATCCATGGATTCAAGGCCTGGAGACAAGTGGAGACGAGGGTAAAAGGCGAACAAAAAAGAAAAAGAAAGAGAAAAAGAAAAAGAAAAGAAAAAAAATATCGAAAATAGGTGTGGGTCAGGAGGGGGCGAATCATGGCGGGTACCGTCGAGAGGGAGGATGTCACATTGGAGATGCTGGGCGTCTACAAGGCGCGAAAATGAAGCATGTACATGGTTTGAACATTGGGGGGGAATTAATTGATTTGAAATTGGCAATCAACTCGTATTCCGCCAGCGCATGTATCTTTTTTGAGTCTCGTAGTGAAGCGGTGTGATAACGAATAACGAATGTGTTCGAATTGACGTGTTCGATGGTATAGTGCGTGAGCATACGACTTTGGGATAGTGGCAGTGGCACAGTTCCTAACAGACCAGGTGTTCGCCCTCCCTTATTGTGGTCAAAGAGCGTGGCAATAAACCGTTTGGGGCAAATCTCTCTCTCCCCCACGTCATCCGCTCGATGACCTGCCGCGGTTCTCCAAAACGACAGAACGAACCTCCAATGGCGAACATAATTCAACAGGCAAGAAAGGGGCAAAGACGAGAAAATTTTGACATCTATCGACCCAGAGCCACGGCTAATCTCCACGACAGCTGTCATAGCAGATCACAGCTCGGCAGCGTGGCTGCACTGACCGCTGCAAGTTGCTGTCCTGCTGGTGGTGGTGGCCAGGCATCATCACCATCATAACGAGTAGGCGATACCTCGCCTTCAGGCTAAAACGAGTGTTCCCAGGCTCCTTACCGAAGGGTTCATCGGGCGTCAAAGCTGCCATCTGATTCTAGCCAGCAATTGCTAATATGGCCAGCCAACTATGTACGATTACTCTTTTCGACGTGTCTGGTCCCACTCCACCCTCCATGAGATGTGGACTACTCGTACACTTCTTTTTGCCTGAGCACACTTTCGAGACCCTTTCGACCTTTGCTCTCTATAGACGAGCTGAATACTATCCACCTGGTCCCTGAATATCGCTGGTCACTACCAGGTGGGAACCCTGGGCAAAAACTCCACTCGCCGAAAATTCTTGGTCTCCATCAACCCGCCTCTGACGTCGGCCCTAATAGGGTGGCGATGCGCTTTTTATTTTGCTGACTTTGATTTTTTGCTGTGATGACAATGGAGTGCCACCTACCTGTTCAGTTCGCCGGTCGCCGGTGGCCCCAGCTCTTCCACTCGTCAGGAACAGGAAATAAACTCTTCCTGACTCAGCATCTGCAGAGTTTTTTGGTAGACAAGTATGTATACTTCTGATACTTTCGATTTACAGATTCTTCCTGCATACCATGCCCGCCCTATCTCCGATCGCCTTTTAGTCCTGGCCTTAGCTCGCGTCCGTTCCGCGGCCGGTGGCCACCTTAACGGTCTGGTGGGCCGAACTAGTCCCTCTTTCCATCGCGATGGGAGGGCCTCTTTGCCTAGTCCAAGGTACCTTGGCGATCTTCCAGAAAGCCATCGTGATTCTAGACCGCCCTTTGTGCTCCGTACCTGCGTGCTAGCGTCGACTCTAGGGTAAAGACGGTTAGGGCACAAAGGCACTGGGCGGCTGCCATATCCACCAATGGGCCAGGCCTACTCGTACTATCTATGTACTACTACATAGTCCGGAGGACTCCGTAGTTTGAGGGTAAATATACACTGGCATACATAGTGGTCGGAATGGTAATGCTCAATGATCAGAAAAGGACTACCTGGTATACGGAGTACTGTGTACAGGAAATTAAAAATGAAAAGAAAAGAAAAGTCTTCTCCGGTCTCGCGTCTTTTGTGGCACCCCGCTGTGGTCTCCCCCCACCACCTCACAGCCACTGAGTCACCTCTGATTGATCAGATGGCCTTCGTCCCTCCGTCCCTTTTTCGTAGCAGGGGACCCCTGCTACCCCAACGGGGACCAGATGGTGAGGATACTCGTAGTGGCTAGGCTGCATCGAACAATCCCCTTGAGCATGGCATGGCATGGTGCCTGGGCCGGGGGAGTATAGATCAACCCACTCTTACCAGTACGGCGCCCGCATAGCCGACAAACTGGCCAATGTACTGTCACCCGTCTCTTCCTTCTTGCGGTGACCGGCAAGTTCGAGATTGATCTGCCGGTGAATGTGCACCAGCCAGTCCACGTAGCTTTGGGCTTCGTTGTTCCTGTCCTCCAGAAGCAGTCGGGCGAACTCGTACTCCGCCCCATCTAGACCTTGCCGGGCCAGTTGGATGGTGACTGCTTTAGACCCACGCACTGTTGAGAAGTATTGCAGAATATTGCGCACCTGAGCGTTGAGATGCGTCTCCAATACTGGCAGGGATGATGTGTTGGGATTGAGTTCTTGGAGCGAGTTCGCCCCGGGTCCGAGTAGATCCTCTAGAAGATTCGGTGAGACCTGAGCATGCAACCAAAGTAGAACGGCTTGTCCGTTGTCCACTAGGTATGCACCCCCTTCCTCAATCTTTGAGAAGCTAGCGCGTAGTGTTGGTGGGACCTGAAGTTGGCCTTGCTCGTTGGGGAAGCCGTCTTCTGGTTGCAGGTTGTGGATGGGGATGATACGAGGGTAGAGATAAAGAGATAGCTCTGTACATCCGAGGGATCGAATCATGCGCATGTCATGAGTACGGCGGTCCGATGACTCGTTACCACCTGCCGAGATGTATTAGCAGAAGGTTTACATTGGCTGTGTCCTGGGAGGTAATCTCACCTTTGAACGCTCTCGACTTAATAAGACTGAGCATGTACATCGAGAATTCTTTCAGGTTCTCCGGCAAGACCAGCTGGCCTGGCGGGTGTGACCCGGAGAAATTCTTGCGGTATCCGCTGAAGATATCGACCGTCTTTTCGGAGATACTGGCACGGATATCCTTGAGGGTCTTGTCGAGCGTTTTCGAGGCAGCTGTTATACAGATATAAGCGTCCGAAGATTAACCAGAAAATGCAGAATATTATCGACTTACCCTCCTTGGCAATGACAGCTACCACGGCATCTTGATCGACATATTTCATGGTCTCCATGGCACCTTCATTAACTGCGGCCACCACATTGATGCAACGAACTCTACGCTGGCCATCAGCAGAGGTATAGAGGAGTGCGGCCTGGAAATGAGCGTCAAGCTTGGGGTCCAGCTTGCCATCATAGCTGAACACAACGCCAATGGCCTTCTCTGCATCTACGCCACCGATCTCGAGGTCGGCGCCGAGGGTATGTTGCACGAAGTTTCCATGGTAAGAAGATACTTGCAAGCCGTTTGAGCACCGCACCTTCATCAACGCCTGGTAGCCTGTCTCCCGAATGGTGGCATGGGCCATCTCCCGGCGAATCTTGAGTAAATCGCGCGGTGCATGGAAATTTGGGTAGAAGAAAGTCTCGCCGCCCGTTAGAGCAGACACATGACCTATTGAATGAATCAGTCCCTGTGCATCGAATTCCAGATGTTCGTATCCTTAACATACCCATTGTCGCCACATCCATGTAAGTGCCACCAGGGGCGGCAATGAAGAAATCCACTCCCACTCCCGCTTCAGACAGCTGGCTCGCTGTCTTCTTCCATGCTTGATTCTCTGTGGTAAATAGTTTCCGCTCTGCATCCGTCCCGTGAATCTTCACATCTTCACGCACTGTCAACTGTCCAGGGCCCCAAGTGGGCAGGCTGGATACTGCGCAGATGACCTTTCCGCCGGTGGGCTGAAGAGCTGCAAGAGCGGCATTGAGTGTTGGGAGAACGACGGGGTCAGGGTTCTTGATATGACCGAAAATACTGGGTATCCCTTCCAAAAGCGATGTGATCACAGACCTAGTGCATATTGTTAGCAGCTTATCCAAGCATCGCGGTTGTATCCTTCTTACTTGGACTCATATGGATCCACAAATAGGCCCTCGCTCAATGGCACGAACGGTTCTTCTAGGTCGGTCGTAACCATCATCTGCGCCTGATCCAATGTGCCCTGAATTTCCTGTCAGCCAACAAATCCATTCCTGAAGTCTCGATTCGTTATTACAGAGGGAAAAATGAGCACTTACGGTGAGATTGTAGAAGTGAACTTCCGTGTCGAACGTGACAATGCCGACCTTGGATCCCGCAGGGATCTTCCGTGCTTTCGTTTCATCACCCTCGGTGCCATCAACGGCTCCATCCTCGCCATACAAAGCCTCAGCAATGCCTTCACAGACGCCCTTTAAGAAACCTCGGTGCACAGATTCGCGACTGACGTCAATCAAGAAGAGTGTCTGTAGGCCCACTGGTTCCTTGTTCCAGTATTCCTTGGGTACCAAATACTCGACTGTGCCCATCATCAGCTCCGGTCTTTGCATGCGGTCTACGCGAGCCCCAGAAGGATCCAAGGGCGCAAAGTATTCGGCTGGTGTATCATTTGCGAAGGTGCACATATTGCAGACGAATTTGCTGCCTCCTGATCGGAAAGACATAAAGGGGTTGATATATGTTCGGCATCGTCGGCATCGCGGAGGACCAATGTCCCCGAAGTCCAGCACGGGGATGGGTTGCTCGCCGGGATCCAAAGGTGCGAGGGGTTGGATCACCATGCCCAGAGGCAGACCGGTGGAGGAGAGGAAGTCGGAGGTCGAGGGGATGTTGTTGAGTGTCAGACGGGCATACTTGGGCGAGGAGTTACCCTGATCATGGGCCACAAAGGGGATCGACGCAGGCGGGGGGAGGTGGCGGTCCATTGTTGGATAGACATGGTTGAAATAGTACTGAGCAGGCAAGTCGCGCGATCGGGGGATGCTGGGGATCTGCTCAGGGTCAATTCTGCCTTGGGTGGACACCGAGTCTGCTCCAGTAGTGATTCCCGGCTGCGAGGTCATTCCCGGCGCTGGCTGCACGTATCCTGGGGAAGCACCAGCGACAGGCTGCGGAGCTTGATTTAGACCAGTATTCAGGAATTGGGATGTTGGTTGCGGGGCCCCCGTGGCAGCCGCTCCCTGGCCAAAGGCCGGGGCCGGGGCCGGGGCAGCAACACCAATATCGTGATGGGCATGCCGATGCTTCTTACGATGTGACCTGGCTCCAGCATCTGCTGCGATCCCAAGCCCGCTCATCTGGGAGGACAATCCGGCCATACCGGGGTCTCCAGCTGCACCCATGGGTGCTTGCTGCCCGGCAGCGGCATCATAGCCAGCATTCGGGCTGGTAGGCAGGTTCTGCTGTTGAGGAGAGCCGTAGGTGGACCATTGATTCGGAGAAGGGTTCGGATAGGCAGCTCCTGGTTGCGGAGGCGCCCCGGGGTGGTAGCCTGCGTATTGTTGCTGTTGCGGAGGTTGTTGAGGATGAGAATGAGAATGAGGATTGGAGGGGTCACCAGCAGCTTCCCCCATTGAGTGATACATCGGGTCAGCCATAGGAACCGGAACCGAGGAGACCTGGAAAGGGAGTGCCCCGCGGTGGTGGATGTTGATGATATACCAGATCGGACACCTTCCACTTGGCGGAACGGGCCATCGTACCTCCGAGGTTGCCAGTCTAGCCTTTGTTCACGTGGAACCAACCACATCATGGGAAGTATACTACAACCACCACCACTGTCAACTGGCCGTACTTTTGTTCCTTTTTTTGTACACTTGGATGGGGTATCACTGCTGGCTTTCGTATTAAATCCGGCTCTCTTTACTCTCGGGTGATGGTTTCTGCACTTTTTCCGGTCCGCTGAGAACCCTGTGGACACATGCATACCATACAGTACTTCATTCGCAGATCTCCACCGCTCTTCTAGGATGCTTCTCCGTGCTGAGGCGGGCTAGCGAAGGTCGGAGGAAGCAACCGACCATCCAACTCTGGCCAAGCTCATTTGTTCATGGTGTTCGACCCGACGAGTCCGCATCCCACTAACTCTGAGGTCGGAAGATTCTCGGGCATCCCGCATGTCCATCCCATCGTCCACCTAGGCCCCTATCGTCAAAGTCCCAGTCGACGCGGTACTTCCAGCTGCATCGACGCCTCAGACAATCCCTCGAATCAATTGATTCGCGCTTATCGCCTCATCCCAGCAGTCTGAAATTCAATGGTTGCTCTATTTTGTGTCCGAATCACGCCAAATCGCCACGATTCTTTCTATTTGCAAGCTTGCCACTGTAGGGTTTTCTAGGCTTATCCAGCTCACCGTTTCTTTGTGTGTCTTCCAAATCGGACCTTGGCCCTTCCATCTGGCGTCACTCGAGTTTGGCGAGTAGATATATCTTCCATAGCGCCGGGCCCCGTAAGTTATGCATAACCTTTTTTTTTGCTTTTTCTCCATCCCGCCCTGTATATTAGTTTATCGTCACTCAGTCTTAACGATGGGCCTAACAACCAAACCTCCCGACCCAGATCGCAAATCACTAGGAGTTCGGATTGAGCGGCCAACCCTTGAATCTCAATCTGCTCCTAATATGGCAACCATCCAAGATGATGATGAGCTTCTTCTAGCTCGTATTGGCTATAAGCAAGTACGTACCCCTGATAATTTTAGTAAATGTTCCAAGGTTTCAATTGTCCACCTCGGCAGGTGATGAGCGCTTCCAAGGTTCCATTCTAACGCTCGAGATTATATTGCTATCAGGAACTACGACGAGAGTTTTCCAAATGGTCCACAGTTTCCTATGCCATCTCTATTCTCGGTGTTTTGGGCTCCGTACCAGCGACCTTCGGTTCTCCACTGGCAGCCGGCGGTCCTGCCACGGCTGTCTGGTGCTGGCTGATCGGATCTTGCATGGCGATGTGCATCGGCAGCTCCGTTGCGGAATTAGTTTCAGCCTATCCAACAGCTGGTGGAATGTATTTTGTCACGAAGCATGTCGTACCCCCTGATCAAGTCCCAATTTTCGCGTGGATCCAGGGTTGGTGCAACCTACTGGGCCAGACGGCTGGTGTGTCAAGTGTTGCATATACTGTCAGCCAGATGCTGCTTGCCTGTGTTAGTATGAATTCGGAGCTCATTGATGGGAGTTATTCATATTCGCCGTATGCCCAACCCACGTATCATTTTGGTTCCTCTCATGCTGATATCCCCGCAGGTCCGCAGTGGAGACTGTCTTGTTATCTATTGGAATCCTGTGTATTCTTGGTATCATATGCTCGCTGACGACGAGAACATTGCATCGCATCATTCTTTGGTTTGCACCGATAAATAGTATGTTTTTGCTGGGATTTTGCAACACGGTATTATATAACTGACAACGGCTAGTCTGCGCAACTATCGGAATTTGTATCGCTCTGATATATCTGACCCCAGACAAGCAGCCCGCCTCGTGGGTCTTTACCCACTTCACTGATGGGTCTGGGTGGAACTCGAAAGTCTTCTCCTTCTTCCTAGGCTTCCTTTCCGTCGCATGGACTATGACCGACTACGATGGTACAACACAGTGAGTTTCCCTTTTCACCTACATGTGAAATTATATCTCACAATCTTCCCTAGCATGTCAGAGGAAACACACGATGCTGCTGTCCGAGGACCAGTTGCCATAAAGACAGCTGTTCTCGTTTCGGGGGCCTTCGGTTGGCTCTTGACTGTCTGCATGTGCTTTTGCCTATCCGATTTTGATCAAATTCTCAATTCTCCTACAGGTCTCCCAGCCGCACAGATATTCATCAACGCTGGTGGTAAGCGAGGCGGCACAGTCATGTGGTCCTTTGCCATCCTTGTCCAATTCTTCACGGGTTGTTCAGCCATGCTGGCTGATACTCGAATGGCCTACGCATTTGCCAGAGATAATGCCCTTCCTTTCTCTGGTTTTTTATCGAAAGTTAATTCTCGTACCCATACACCCGTAAATGCAGTCTGGTTTGTGGTTTTCTTCAGTGTTGCCTTGAACTGCATTGCCATTGGTTCAACAGAGACAGCCACAGCAATCTTCAGCATCACCGCCCCAGCATTAGACCTGTCCTACATCTCCGTCATTCTTGCACATCAGCTCTACAAAAACAAGGTCAAGTTCATTGAAGGTCCCTTCACGCTGGGCAAATGGGGTACTACGATTAACTATATCGCCGTGATATGGGTTTTGTTCATCAGTACCATTCTTTTCTTCCCATCACAGCTTCCTGTTACGGCAGCCAATATGTACCGTGGAACCCCCCCTGTCTGAAAACTCGACCCCACGCTAACTTGTTCTAGGAATTATGCGATCTGTGTCGCTGCCTTCATCGCCATTTTTGCCCTGGTCTGGTGGTGGGTTGCAGCCCGAGGGTATGATACAAAGTCCAATTGAATAATGAGTATCAACTAACATCACCCGTATAGAAAATACACGGGCCCTCAAACCAATGATATTATTCAAGAGATTCCTAATGATGAAAACGAACATGATTATGCACAGTCTGATGAGGGGTCTGTTTGAGAAGCTGATCGCGCGATACGGTATTTCAAAGTTCGCACAGATTTAAGCACCCAAACCTCTCATCAAAAGTAGATATAGAACTAGAATAGAACATTGGAACATTGGGAGTTCATTGAGCACATACAGGATATAAGATTTCGGGATTTTGTTTCACATTTACAAAAGAGCAGGATTTGAATAGGATTATGGGAAATAAATCGTTACCGGTATTGTTCAGATTATACATAAATTGAAGATAAAGTACACGTGCATTTCAGCTTCCTGTCACAATGGCAAGTCCCTCGTAGATCTTCTTCTTAACAGCAAGGAAGCTAGCGGAATCTCGGCCTAGAGCTTTCTGGTTGGCGGCTGCCTGGGCAGATGTCTCGATCTCAATCTTACCAGTACCGGATTTTCGGACAGCCACTAATTTATCGATGAGCAGCGTACCCTCACCCCTAAATTCAGCAGTATGGCCAGCTGTTTGCATGAGTTTTCGCAGATCAGCCAGCCGCAAGTCACCGACATGCAACGGCCGGGCCATAGATCTGGTCCCGGCAGCCATAGTAACAGGCAATGTATCAAGAAGAGGAAAAATATCGGATTTGCCCCCGCTCTTAGGAACAACCGCAGAGGAGGCGGCCTGCTCGTTGGCCAGCTTCATCTTCTTGCCGGTTGCCTCAGGATCGGCTTCCTCCTCACTGGGAGGCTCCGGTCCTCGCAATTGAGCGGTCAATGCAACGACACCAAGACTGCGAACATGCTGCCATTTCAGACGTCGAACAAGGGTGTTGCTGAGCTTGACCATCCAAGCATTTGTATCAACACTTGCGTCGACGAGCTCGCCATTAGCAGGAGTAAAGATGATCGCTGCTGTGTCAGCAGCTGAGTCAACACCAGCTTTAGCAACCAGGAGCTTTTTACATTCGGTCGCAAGCGCCAATGTCTCATCCTTCATTCCGCCAACAAGAATCAGCTTTTGGGGTTGGATCAGAGGAATCAACATTTCGAGACTTCGCTTATCATGCACGCCCATAAAGTCGACAAAGGCGATACGAGCATTGATGGTGATTGATTGTTTGGTGTATACAGCCTTAGCAGGGCCTTCGAATGCCTGGCTATCCACCTCATCCTCTGAAAATGCAGCAACATCACCAGATTCGCCGTCCTCGGCAAGACTGAGGTCATCGTCTGCACCGGAGTCAATTTTGTCACCATTTTTAAGCTGCTGGCGCTTGCGGCCCGCAGCGCCTCCCGATAACCTGCGTCCGCCGGAACCAGCGCTTTCGTCCCATCGTCGCTTTTGGCCGAGCTTAGTTTCTGCGTCTGTTCGTCGTTGTTGCATATCGATTTCCTCGCGTTCCTCTGCTCGCAAGTATTCTTCGGGTCGAATGAATTCGCCATATTCGTCTCCCTTCTTTCGGGGCGCAACATAAGGAAACATGCGCTCACGCCCCTTCTTCCCACGCACGTCGTAGTCGTAGACATTTCTGCGTCGAAGCAGAATATTGATGCCCAGATCTTCATCACTGAGAGCCAGCTTGTTTCGGTTTGCATGGGCAAGTGAAGTCGAAAAATTCAGAACACGACCTTGCTGCTCACCATCCGAATCTTCCGATGAGGTTGAGCTAGATCGGTCATCCAGAGCGTCTGCGGCATTCTCGAGGGTTTCCTGGCCACGAGTCTGAGAGGTGTCTTCGTGTTGTCGCTTTGTGGCAAGGTATTGCTGATAAATAAGCTGGTCTCCTACATCGAGGGGAGCTCGCCGAACATCCGCCCAATTCAACTCCCGTCCACCACTGTGGACTTGCTCCAGCATTTCGCCGTCTGATGTTTTCTCCAGCGCAACGCCATCTCTCCGCTCTTCGTACCACTGCCAGATAGTCGCTCCGAGCGACGCAGTATTCGACGACTCAGAGCCTTCTAGGGGTGCATTTTTACGGAAAGATTCGGTCAGCAACAGCAAGTTGTTGGGTCCCTGGGCAATTTGTCGCAAGGATTCCTTCGCAAAGCCCCAAGCCAATGAAGTGTCAGAGGCAATAATCACT